GCCTATGTTGTCTGGGGTAGTAGTGCTGCCTGTATGAAATGTGCTGGTGATAGGGGACTGCACACATCGTCCTGGTGCTGCTGTTTGACTGGGTACACAGGCTTGTTGCATCATGGCCTGCAGCAGTTTGACCTGCAGCCAGCTATTTGCTCAGATCCCAAGCATGAAGATTCCAGGCAGAACTGTTCTTGGCAGCAATCACAGATGTTTCTCTCGAGTTGTGTTCATTCCTGCCTCATTTCACTATGCTGCGGGGCCAGATGCCAATAATCTCTCCCTCACTCTCTTTCCTCGGGTCTGTGACCAATTGGGTCCCATGTGACTGATAGAGCTATTCAACACAGGAGCCTTCACGGTGACCTCTGATGCTGGCTAATTTCAGCTTTGATTGTGTTGGAATTAGATTGATGTGCTCTGCCAATATTTATTCAGTTATTGCAAGAAACCAGACAGGATCTGACCTCCGAGTCCTGAGAATGAAAAATGAATCCTCTGGGGGTGGCTCCTGAAGACTTCGACTGTCTTCTTCCTTTTGCAATTTGTCCTATTTTTGAGGGGGTGGGGAATGCCCAGCTGAGATCACCATGGCATGTGTCACTGTTGTAGGTTAAACTGACAAATTCATCTCTAAATGAAGAAAGTGCATTCTCGAGCGCCTTTCCCAATCCCAGGCCCTTCCTGAGTGATTTGTGGTGAAGTCATCAGCCAGATTCTGGCAGCAAGTCATCCCAAAACAACATTCCACAAACGACCAACAGGCCAGGAAGAGAAGAAGTTGTTTTGGTGACAGCTGAGGGATAAGTATAGAACCAGGACACCAGGGTGAACTGCCCTGTGCTCTTCTTCCAATAGTGGCCATGAAAAAGGATGGCACCTCCCTCAGCGCTGACCCTCCGACAGCGCGGCGCTCCCTCAGCGCTGACCCTCTGACAGTGTGACACAGTTAAGGGAGCTGATGGCCTAGTGTCATTATTGTTGGTCTGTTAATCCAGAGACCCAGATATTGTTCCAGAGACCTGGGTTCAAATCCCACCACAGCAGATGGTGGAATTAGAATTCAATAAAAATATCTGGAATTGCGAGACTAATGGTGACCATAAATTTATTGTCGATAGTCAGTAAAACCTATCTGGTTCACTAATGTTCTTTAGGGAAGCAAAATGCCATCCTTACCTGGACTGGCCTACGTGTGACTCCAGACCCACAGCAATGTGACTGACACTTAACTGCCTTCTGGGCCATTAGGAATGGGTAATAAATGCTGCCTAGTCGGTGATGCCCTCATCCCATAAATGAATAAAATAAAAACTCCCTCAGCACTGACCTTACATCGCCTCCCTATCTCTGTAACCTCCTCCAGGCTCTACAACCCTCGCTATCTTGGTAACCCCGTCCAATTCCAGCCTTTTGAGCAACACCCGATTCCCATCATTCCACCATTTGTGCCTGTGTCTTCAGCAGCCTGGGGCCCTAAGCTCTGGAATTTATTCTCTCCCTAAACCTCTAAACCTGTCAAGATGCTCCATAAAACTGACCTCTTTGGCCAGAAACTTTGTCTCCTGTCCCTCATGTGTCTGAATGTCTAATTCTGGCCTGATTTACCTCCTGTGAGGTGTCTGTGGATGTTCCTGTGTATTAATGGCAGTGTCAAGACATGAAAGTTTGTTGGGATAGTTGGAGATAGATACTGGCAATTTTCTCAAAGGACTGGTAGCACCCAGTGTCTGCGTGAGCTTGGTTGGCTTGTCTTAGTTTGCCTTTTCACTGTGCACAGTGAGTGGGCTGAAGCAAATGTACTAAATATGAAATGCTCTTCATTCTCGCTCTCCTCCTCCTCCTCCTCCTGCAACCGCATATCAGCTGTTAACTGAATGCTGACTGGTTTCTGCAGACTGCCTGTCACTCCTTCACAGACCCCTCTTGCAACATCAGTCACTGCACAGAATCACCCTGCTGCATGAATCAGTTCACCGTATGGTTTTTGACCCAATTCTCTTCAATCTGTGACCCTCTGGCGACCAACCTTCCTACCGCTGGGAACAGTTTCTCCCTCATTGACTCGGTCCAACAGCCCCTTCCTGACACTGAACGCCTCGATTCAATCTCCTCCTGAACCTTGCCTTCTCCCCAAGGGGAATGATCCCAGCATCCCCAATAATCCACTGAACAATGGTGCCTGTCAACTAGTAATGCTATTCACATGAGCAGTATGGGAGTACTGTCACTTGGCCAGAGGGGACCAGAGCCCTGATCTAAAGCACAGGATTTAAGGAATGTTGTAGATGGGAAAGTTTGGGGAAGAGAATTCCAGGCAGATGAAGGCATTGCCGGTGGAGTGACCGGATTGGGAAGAGCGCTGAGGTGTTGTAGAGCTGGCTTTAAATGTTCCAGAGATAAGGAAGTAGAATAAGGAATCGAGGGCTCTGCATGAAGTCAAGAGCTGAACAGAGAGTGAAAAGGTGCAGCTGCACAGTCAGCGGAACCAAGGTTCAGAATGTGGGTTAGAGTGAAGTATGGTTTTGCTTATCGTGGTGACTGGGGTGTTGTGGGGAGCTGTTGCCGAGCTAACAGTTGCATGATATCTTTCAGCTTCCTGCCTACAGGCCTCTTATGATGTGCATGGTTTGCCTGAAGTTTTGTAGTGGCGTTGAAGGCAGCAAGCACCAGCATTGCCCAACAAGCAACATCAGGGACAGCAAGTCTTGGAGCAGGGGCTGGTAAACAAAATTAACCAGCGGTCAAATATTTGTAATACAACGAAGCAATTCAGTAGAAATAAAAGCAAGTGAATCATTCGTTATGGTTTTGCACAGATTTGCAATAGGTCTGACTGCCTGAGGATCAAACCTAGATGTGGGGCCCTGGGCAGTTACTGAAGGAGGATTTGAAAACTATGAATGGAATATGCATTTTTCAATGGGAAGGGCTTTATTGGGAATATTTTACTGTTCTGGCTAACACAAAGCAGTCAAGGCCCAGAACCTCTGCTCTTCATGCAATGGGTCACTTACTCTCACTCCCTCACCCTTCTCAATCCTCTGATCAGTACATCATGGCTCTCAGCCACAATATCCAATCCACTACTACCAACACTGATACAGAGAGAGCACCGCACTATCAGAGAGTCAGCACTGAGGGAGCGCCGCACTGCGTCGGCTGGTCAGTACTGGGGGATCGCCGCACTGTGTCAGCTGGTCAGTACTGGGGGAGCACCGCACTGTGTCGGCTGGTCAGTACTGGGGGAGCACCGCACTGTGTCGGATGGTCAGTGCTGAGGGAGCACCGCACTGTGTCGGCTGGTCAGTACTGGGGGAGCACCGCACTGTGTCGGATGGTCAGTGCTGAGGGAGCACCGCACTGTCGGAGGGTCAGTGCTGAGGGAGTGCCGCACTGTGTCGGAGGGTCAATGCTGAGGAAATGCCGCACTGTCGGAGGTGCTGTCTTTCAGATGAGACATTAAACCGAGAGCTGTCTGCCACTCTCGGGGGTTGTTGGGGTGGAGGTGGTGTAAAAGATCCCATGGCCATTATTAGAAGAAGTGCAGTGGTGTATTCTTGCCGGGGTCCTGAGGCCAATATTTATCCCTCAATCAACATCACTGAAAACAGATGATCGGGGTCATTCTCACATTGCTATGTGGAAGCTTGCTGTATGAAAATTAATTGCTGGCATTCCTGCATTACAACAGTGACCCCATTTCAAAAAGAATGTTTTTCATTTATTATGAAATTCCTGGGATGTCCTGAGGAAGTGAAAGGTGTTTTGTGTCAGATGCTTCCTGTCCACACTGACTGGTGCCTCGCTGTGGCTCCCCTGCCAGCCTTTGTCATGTTCGGTGGTGAGGGAGGTGTACAGGGGAGTTTGAGAGCTGAGACAGCAAGGCATCAATGGGGTGTTAATATTTGGGCATGTCCAGACTGTCAATTTTGACTTAGACTCTGTCCAGTCTTCACTACAGAGGTGTACTGAGTGACTGCTAATCAGGGAAATATGGCTCAGCTGGAAGCCACAGGTACAGGGTGAAGGAAGGAGCTTGGATATCAGGCTGCATCAGAGACACACTATCCTAGCAATAGTGTCTCCATTCCTGAGCAACATGAGCTGCTTTTGAGAGCTGCCTGGACTTGTGCATCCTGTGTGTGGGTGTGGGAATGTTACTCTGAAATTTACTGACTCCAGGAAATGCATTCACTGTCCCCCTTTCAGCACATCCAGCTCTCCATAACAACCTCTTCGGAGACATTTCCGAGGAGGAGACCACTCATCCCGTTGGGTCTGTTACATAGGCACAAGAATGAGGCCATTCTGCCCTTCCTTGAGCATGTTCCACAGGAAGAAGGACAAGGTTATTCAGCCCCTCTTTGAGGCTGTTCCATAGGACAAGACCATGCAGTTCCCATCAATCACTTAGATCATGGCTGATCTGTACCTTAACTCCATCTACTTGCCTTGGTCCCTTGAGCCAATGACCATTGATCAATCTCAGTTTTAAAAATTTCAATTGACCTCTGGGTTTTAAGAGTACTTTTGTCATCTGTGTTGGGGGGAAGAGAGTGTGTGATAGGGGGATCTGGATTTCTACTCCTCTCTGTGTCAAAAAAATGCCTCCTGATGTCACCATGCAAAGACCTGACTCTGATTGAAGGTTTTGCTGCCTCATGTGTTTTGGTTGAGACCTTAAACTGGGGCACTTGTCTGCCCTTTCAGAGGGCAGGGGGGTGGTGTAAAAGATTCCATGCCATTATCAGAAGAACAGCAGTGGGATCTTTCCCCGGGGTCCTGGAGCCAATATTGATCCCTCAACCAACATCACTATAAACAGATGATCTGGGTCATTCTCGCATAGCTGCATGTGGGAGCTTGCTGTTTAAATCAGCTGCCGTCTCCCCTACATTACCACAGTGACCAGGCAAAGTATAATGTATTTTATTGGCTGCAGAGGGATTTCAGGCTGGGTGAGATAGTGTGATGGTTAGATTCTGATCCTCTCCCCATGACAGAGGACAATGTATCTGGAGTGAGTGAGTGGGATCACCAGGACCATCGGCTTTCAGTGCTTGAGCAGAGAGTCCAGCAGCAAGAAGACGAGATTACACTGCTTAAATCTGCACTCGCTGATGCCCTCCGTCGCATCTGCTTCTACGACCAGCACTTCTCACTGCTGGAAGCCAGCCACCCCGGTATGTTCCCAATTCCTAATCAACTCGCAATATATTCTGTTATACTGCTCACTCCCCACGCTCCTCTCACTGCACTCAGCCCCCTGTACCTGCTCCCCACACTCGCTTTCTACTCTAGCTCCCTGTACTTACCCCCAAGACCCACTCCCTGCACCTGCTACCTGGGCTTACTCTGTGGGCTTGCTCCCTGCACTCATTACCTGGGCTCACTCTCCATGCTCGCTCCCCGCCCTCACTCCCTGTACTTATCCCAGGGGCCCACACACTGCGCGCGCTACCTGGGCTCGCTCTGTGGGCTCGCTCCCCGCCCTCGCTCTCTGTACTTATTTCTGGCCCCAACCCCTGCACTTGCCACCTGGGCTCACTCCATGGGCTCGCTCTCCATCTTCACTCCCTGCACTCGCTCCCTGCACTCGCTCCCCGCACTCGCTCCCTGTACTTATCCCCGGGCCCGCTCCCTGCACTCACTCCCCGCACTCACTCCCTGTACTTCTCCCCGGGCTCGCTCCCCGCACTCACTCCCTGTACTTATCCCCGGGCCCGCTCCCTGCGCTCGCTCCCCACACTCACTCCCTGTACTTATCCCCAGGCCCACTTCCTGCACTCGCCCCCTGCTCTCACTCCCAAGCTCTCTTGCTCCATGCACTCGCTCCCTGTGCTCGCCTCCTGCACTGCACCCTTGCAACCTCCCCGCTTGTTCTTAGTCTGCTTCCCACACACACTGTCCTCCTCACTCCCTGTGTGCTCCCCCTGGCTCTCTCCCATCGGGGATAAGAAGGACAGGGTGGAGGAGGAGGGTGTGTGGTGGAGGAGTGGGAGACAAAGGAAGGCACAGTGTGAGGAGGAGGGTCAGTGGGAGGAGAAGAGGAGAGGTGGAGCAGCGGTACCTGGAGAGGGAGCAGGAAGGGGGGGTGCAGGAGAAGGAGGAGGAGAGGGTGGTGGAGGGGGCAGGGGGAGGAGGGAGGAGCAGGGCGAGGGAGGTGTAGGAAGTGGATGTGGGAACTGAAGGAGGAATTGGAGATGGGAGCAGAAGGGAAGGGAGGTGAAAGTAGAGTGGAAGCAGGCGGAGGGGGAAACTGGAGGACAGGGAAGAGAGAGGATGGTGGAGGGACAAGGAGGAAGAGGGGTTGCAGTGATAGGTGCTGATTGTTGTCAGGGAAAGGGTTGGGAGTGGGGTGAGATCAGCTTGGACAGTGACTCCACACGGAGGGGAGGCGAGGGATGGGCTGTTTTGGGACGGCGTTGGAACATTGTGCGATAATTCATTTGGAGATTTGAATGTAGTTTCAGAACTGGGAAAAGAGATGAGGGACGTTCAGGTGGCGTGCTCATCTTGAGGCATGTGTGTGAGGGAATTGTGTAATAATCTTTCTGCCTCCCTCTCTGTCTGTCTGTCTGTCTCTCTCACTCTCTCTCTCTCCCTCTCTCCATCTGCCTGTCTCTGTTTCGCTCTCTCTTTGTCTGTCTCTTTCAGGAAATCACAGTTTACAAAGTGCCTTCCCTACTGTGGGTCCAACTGGGCGGTCCAGTGCAACAAGGAGCCAGTCTTTGAGTTCAGCCTACGATTTATTGCGTCATACTGGAGATACTAGTACAAGGTACAAATTGTCCCCTGCTCCATCGCTCTCTGTAACCTGTGTCCTCAATTCAGCAAGGGCCGATTGCCAATTAGTCCAGTCCACACGGACCCAGCTTTTATCCAGCTCACCTCCTGACTCCCCAAAGCCTGTCCATCATCTACAAGGCACAAGTCAAGAGTGTGATGGAATACTCCCCACTTGCCTGGATAAGTGCAGCTCCAACAACACTCGAGAAGCTCGACACCATCCAGGACAAAGCAGCCCCCGCTTGATTGGCACCACATCCACAAACATCCACTCCATCCACCACTGATGCTCTGTAGCAGCAGAGTGTACCGTCTACAGGATGCACTGCAGCTACTCTCCAAGGCTCCCCTGAAAACATCTTCCAAACCCATGACTAGGACCTTCATTGAAGTCACAGGACACAGATACATTGGAACACCATCCTCTGCTAGTTCCACTCCAGTAAATGAGTTTATTAGATGTGGATCTTGGGTTATCAAGGAGAAGGGTCAATGTCTTTATCCCTAAATCCTGATCAGTAATCCCTGTGGACGGTGTTGCATTGTGCTGTTTGTCTGTCTCCACCACCCAGGCAATTCTGGTCTGTGAAATGTGCCCAGTGACCTACAGATAAAAGGGGTTTCACTATCAGATGTGGTGGTGGGGAGGGGGATAGGGTGGCGGTATGGGACAGCTGTGAATTGTGACTGATTTGTGTGTTTAATTTCTTTCTTTATCATGTACCATCTGCAGTTGTAAACACACAAAGGAGAGGAAAGTCCAGGGGATTGAGGCGTTATACCAAGCGCGTGTACACCAACCCAGGGGTCAGGCTGCACTGGCAGTGCATTCAGGGCCCCAGGACTCAGAATCCACAGTCAGGCATTCACTAGCCCCACAGTGCCTGTCCCACTGTGAACCTCATCCCTACCTGATCCAACCGCATGCATCAGTCCAACAACCTGCTGGAGACCACAAGCAACCGCTGTGCTGCCAGGAGAATGCAAAGAGCCCAGGATCCTGGCCTGCAGCCCAGGCCACTCAACTTCCAAACAATGGTGAACGCAGCTGGCAGCTTTGTGAAGGTGGCACCCTCCCAAACCACTCAGGAGAGCCCGGAGGCCGATCTCAGTTTGAGCCAAGTGCTCAGTGGCCTGCCAAGCTGTCCACGTGCCACCTGAAGGACGAGTCGAGGCTCCAATCTGCAGAAACACATTTGTGTACGCAAGGACAAGATACATTTCCAAGAGCGGAGACTAACACTGACCTGGAAACAGCCCTCGAGAATGCCCATCCTATCTCCCTACTCCCATCTCACAGTGCTGCCTCCCAGAATATCATTCAGCAATATTCTCAGTGCCCACCCAAACCTCAATCCAACAGGAGTCTAGACCAGCAGGATAAGCATTCAAGCCAGAGCCCAGCTGAGCAGGATCTCTGTCCTGTGGCTGCTCTGGATTTGTATCGGAGCCAGCCTATAGCAGAGACCCTTTCTCAATCTCAGGCCAGTCCAGACGCAGCCCCTCTGGATGCATCTCTGAGCCAGCCAAGCAATGAAGTCCATGCTGTGGCCATCAATGCAGATATGTCTCACTGTCTACAACAGGAAGACTCAGCACCTCTCACAGCCAGACCTGAGTCTGCTCAGGATGAACAAACAGCTGAAGGATCTCCCTCAGTAGCCAGCCTCGATGTCTCTCAGACTCCATCTCAAACACAGTCTGAACTGGTGACCAAACTCCTGCCATGCCTCCAGGAAAGTCAGGATGAGCTGACTTCTCAACCTCCGGGCCCTCGCAGTGTCAGCCAAGCTGCCCAACAGAGTCCCAGGAACTGCATCTCTTCATCATCACCTGTCATGACCAACTCTGCCCTCAACAAGAAAGTTCTGTGCGTTGGATATTAGCTCTAGTGTTATCTGTGTGGGTCAACTCTTTGGTACTGCTGGGTGATTGGAGGACTCCCACCAAACAACTCCCAACACCTTTGCCTAAACACCCTCTAACACGCCCCCAAAAAAAAGGCCACTGTCACTCAGCAGTTTCAAATCTCCTAGCATTCCTCTTTGCCTGACAGTTTTCCTTTCATCTGTCAAAATGACTGAACGTTTTGCACAGCTCATTAACAACCATTTGTGATCTGACATTGAGGGAGCTAAGATGGACCTGGAGTAATCCAGTTGCAGTGTCTCCTGGATTGATTGCAGATCTGATGCAGTGGGTTTTTGTATGCAGACTGTAATCAAGGGTCATCCTCTGGTAATCAAGGCTTCTTGGTCCTGGGCATAACACTTCTTCATCTATCATCATCTGGCCTGGGTGAAATGTGAAATCCCAATCCAGTTGCTAGCTCCATTTAAAGGGCACAGAATAGCTCAACTAGTCAGTCTCCAGCAAGAAAACTCATTGTATATGTGGAGAGAGTGTTTTTTTTGTTCCAAGGGACAAGATACATATACATACAGGTCAGCCTTTGGAGGTATGAGAATTCCACCACTTCACTCCACCTTTAAGCTCCTATGTTTAGTCAGGGTTTGCATTTATTCAAGGGATCTGGGGTTCACTGGCCAGGCCCAGCATTTATTACCCATCCCTAACTGCCAAGAAGTGTCAGCCACATTGCTGAGTCACAGGTAGGCCAGACCGTGTAAGTACAGCAGCTTTCCCATCCCTAAATGATGTTAGTGACCCAAGTGGGGTTTTATGACAATCATCTCCATGAAGCTAGTTTTTAATTTATTTCTGGGGGGTGGGGGGATTGAGGCAGGCTGGGAGAATGGGGACATTTCACCATTGTCAGTAGAGTTTGAGACAGGAGTTACAGATATTGAGGTATGATTAACAGCACATCCTTGGACTGACTGGTGTTGACAGACTGGAGAAGGGAGAGAGGTCTCTGATCTACAACACTGATATCCCCTTATCCTTGCTTGGGTTGGGACTCCGGCTAAAACTTTAATCATCTAAACAATTCCAGAAACTGGAGAATTGGAAATAGGAATGAATATACTCGGAATAGAGTACACAGAACTCTGGCCTGGACAACACAGTTGGCTAATTTTGGAATGTTGGGATTTCTCACACAGCTATGAACATTGTTTCTTACTAACTTCCTTCTAACCCATTAAAACAGTGGCTGATCGAGGTGTGTGACTAATGCATGTCAAATTCCAATCACTCCTTCTCAATGAAAACCTAATCAAATCCTGTCTGTGTTTGGGGAAAATGGAGTGACCTTAGCCTGAACTAACAGGGTCTGGTTTTCTGCTGCTTACTTCAGGAGAGACTCAGCCAGCATCAGAGACTATTGCCACTTTGTGCAGAGGGCAGCTCCCTGCTGTGTCTGAGCAGGCAGCAGGACAGGAGCCTGGTTTCATTTGGGCCAGGGCTGCTGGGAATGACTGACACCTGAAAGATCTTGGAGGGAGTGCAGAGATTGCTGAAACCTCCATTCTCTACAAACCAATGTAATTCACTAACACTCTGGAAAAGCTCCAGCTCCACATGCCATGAGATGGGCCATCACTCATGTTGTGTTGAGCTAGTTTATCTGTATCCTAACCTCAGCAACAGCTTCTCTGTAACCTGATTCTGGGTATCTGGCTTTGAATGCATGCCTCCCCTCCTGATTAGCATCTTCCCTCACCTTGCCTTTGATTTTAACCACATTTTTCTAAAATATTTTTTTCAGTTTAAGACGCTGCAGCACTTCAGATAAACTCGGAGCGCTGCGAGACAGGGCCACAGAGAATGGAAAACCCAAACTTGTGAGAAAATCTGCTTCCTCGCTGAATCTGATGACAAAATCCAGGAATGTGGACAGGTCAGTGTATTAAATAATTTCCCGTTTCTCTCTCACTTCCCATGTCTCTTAACTCCCGTTGCTGCCCCTCTCTGTGTCTCTCTGTCTTTCTATCACTCACTCTCACACCCAATCTGTCTCCCTCTCTCCTGCCTCTATCTCTCCCTCCCCCTCTGAGCTGCCTACCATCTGTCTCATTCATAAACAATCTAACCCCTTCTGCCCTGGCTCCACACCACCTTCCCCACCTCCCTCTCTGGCCCGCCTGCCACCTCTCTGGCCTCCCTCTGACGGGAATTGTAAGCCTGGATGATGATATTGTTCGGAAAGGGTCAGATTCTAACCATAGCCGCCTCTGAAACAAATAAAAGGGTTTTTAAAAAAGTGATAAATGGTGCTTGGTTTGGGAAAGAAAGCCACCATTATTTCCTCACAGCTGCTAGTGAAATAAATTCTTCAGCTCTTGGGAAGTGAATGTGGACGCAGCCTGACATGAAGACTATCAAGCTGTGGGGGTTTCTTTGGAGAAGTGAATTAATTTTGCAGAATAAATACCCTATTCAAAATTGACCTTTCAACAAATATGTTACTGAATTATTTAAGTTTTAATCTTCTGATTTCTTATCTCAGACGGCAGCACGTTGTCCTGAGCTGGATTCCCACAGTACTGGATGTCTTCTGGTTAATACTCATGTCAGCCAATACAGTGGAAAGATGTTTGACCCTCGGGCCATCACACAAACCCAATCTTGCCCCAGATACAATATTCACATCAGCATGGGACCTACGTGGGGTGGGCTGGATTATGATCTAAAGCCACAACCTTAGCTGGTTTCCTGCTCCAGCACCATGCTCTAGCCCCTGTCCCTCTTACCCACTACCAACAATTGCTAGTCCAAGGGTACTAATCCTCATTGCTGCCCAGTGAGTGCCAGCTGTGACTCAATGAATCAGATTTATATGTACTTCAAAAAAAAACCCTGTTTATCTGAATTTTCTGTCCATTAACAAATCCTCCATCCATGCTAATACAAAACCCCAACTCCATAAACTTGTGTGTTAACCTTTTAGAATCATAGAATTTTACAGTACAGATGGAGGCCAATCAACTCATTATGTCTGTACTAACTCCCGAGAAAGCTACTCGGTTAGTCCTACCTTCCAGCCCTATTTCCGCAACCCTCTAACTACATCACTTTCAAATTTATATCCAGTTCCCTTTTGAAACCACCTACGGAATCTGCCTCCATCACTCTACTGGGGAGCACATTCCAAATCCTAACAACTCTCTGAGTAAAGAAGTTTGTCCTCATCTCACTCCTAGCTCCCTTGTTGACAGTCTTGAAATTGTGACCCCTAGTTCCTGACATACCAACTATTGGAAACAGAATATCATTTTTTACTCTGTCAAATTGTTCATAATCTTGAACACCTTAATAAGGTCACCTCTTAATCTTCTCTGCTCCATGGAGAATAAACATAATCTTCTCTTGTATCTAAAATCCTTCATTCTTGGCATCATTCTAGTAAATTTCGTTTGTAGTCTTTCCGGGGCTTAACATCCTTCCTTAAATAAAGTGCCCTGAACTGAATACAAAACTCAAAATGTGGTCTAACCAATGATTTGTAGAGATGTAGCATCACTTCCTTGCTTTTATACCCTATGCCTCTCTTTATAAAACCAAAGAACCTATCAGTCTTTTTAACAACTGTTTCAATTTTCTTGGCCACCTTCAAAAAAATTATGCACTTGAACCCTGAGGTCACTCTACTCCTGTATGCCCCTCAAAGTTGAGCCTGTGTCGCGCCTCTATGTTTCTTCTACCAAAATGCATTACCTCACATTTCTCTGCATGAAAATTCATCGGCCAGGTGTATGCCCATTTGGCGAACTTGTCAGTGTCCCTCTGAAGTTGCCCAGCATCATCCTCACAATTCACTATTCTCCCAAGCTTAGTATCATCTATAAATTTAGAGATCTTGCCCTCAACAGTCCTCTCCAAATTGTTTATGTAAATCAGAAAAAGCAAGGGCCCCAACACCGATCCCTTGGAACACCACTTTCACTTGCCCACTTGCCCATTTCTTAAACAACAGTGTGACATTTGCAATCGTCAATTACTGTGTTCAGCGAAGTCTTGAAAATTTCTGTCAATGGCTCTGTGATTTCCTCCCTTACTTCTCTCAGCAATCTAGGATGCATCCCATCCATGCCTGGCGACTCCTCTACCTGGGGTGCCCTTTTCTCCTAATTCATTCACAGGTTGTTGCTGGCTAGATCAGCATTTATTGTCACATGTAGGCCAGTCTAGTAAAGGATGTCCATTTCCTTCCCTAAAGGAAACAGGTTTCTCTGACGATCAGCAATGGTTAGGCTACCCCGTGTTTATTTCCCATGGATAAAAGTCTCTAAAGTATCTGACTCCACTACCACCGCCAGCAGTGCATTCCACACGCCCACCACTCTCTGTGTGAAGAACCTACCTCTGACATCTCCCCTATACCTTCCTCCAATCACCTTAAAATTATGCCCCCTCGTAATAGTCATTTCCGCCCTGGGAAAAAGTCTCTGGATATCCACTCTATCTATGCCTCTCATTATCTTGTACACCTCTATCAAGTCACCTGTCATCCTCCTTCGCTCCAATGAAAAAAGCACTACTCCCTCAACCTTTCCTCATAAGACCTGCCCTCCAATCCAGGTAGCATCCTGGTAAATCTCTCTGCACCTTCTAAAACTTCCACATCCTTCCTATAATGAGGCTACCGGAACTGAACACAATATTCCAAGTGTGGTCTAACCAGAGTTTTATAGAGCTGCAGCATAACCTCACGGCTCTTAAACTCAGTTCCCCTGCCAATGAAAGCCAACAAGCCATATGCCTTCTTTACAACCCTACCAACTTGGGTAGCAACTTTGAGAGATCTATGGACGTGGACCCCAAGATCCCTCTGTTCCTCCACACTGCTGAGAATCCTGCCATTAACCCTGTATTTTGCATTCAAATTTGACCTTCCAAAATGAATCACTTCACACTTTTCTGGGTTGAATTCCATCTGCCACTTCTTTGCCCAGCTCTGCATCCTGTCAATGTCAAACATACTAACCCTTCCACTTCCTCATCCAAGTCATTTATAAAGATCACAAAGAGCAGAGGCCCCAGAACAGATCCCTGTGGAACACCACTGGTCACCGAGCTCCAGGGTGAATACTTTCCATTTACTAGCACCTTCTGTCTTCTACTGGGGACAGCCAATTCTGTACCAAACAGCCAAATTTCCCTGAATCCCATGCCTCCTTACTTTCTGAATGAGCCTACCATGTGGAACCTTATCAAATGCCTTACTAAAATCCATATACACTACATCCACTGCTCTACCTTCATCAATGTGTTTTGTCACATCCTCAAAGAATTCAACAAGGCTTGTGAGGCATGACCTGCCCCTCACAAAGCCATGCTGACTATTTCTAATCAAACTGTGCTTTTCCAAATAACCATAAATACTATCTCCCAGAATCCTCTCCAATAATTTGCCCATCAATTGATATGAATTAGGAGCAGGAGAAAGCCACTGAGCCCTCAAGCCTGAACCCCATTCAATAAAATCATGGCTACCAACCCCTGATAACATCTCACCACCTTGCTTATCAAGAATCTATTCACCGCTGCCTTAAAAATATTGAAACGTTCTGCTTCCACTGCCTTTTGAGCAAGAGAGTTCCACAGACAAATGACAGAAAATATTTCTCTTCATTTTTGTTTTAAATGAGTGACTCCTGGACTTTAAATGGTGACCTCTAGTTCTAGATTCTCCCACAAGAGGAAACATCATGTCCACATCCACCCTGTTAAGATCACTCGGGATCTCACAAGCCTCAAATAGTTGACTCTTTCTGTCCTAAACTCCAATGGATACAAACACAGCCTGTCCAACCTTTCCTCATAAGACAACCTGCCCATTCCCGTTATCAGTTCGGTAAACCTTCTCTCAACTGCCTTCAACACATTTACATCCTCCCTTAAATAAAGAGTCCAATACTGTACACTATACTCCAGATGTGGTCTCACCCTGTATAACTAAAGCATAACCTCCCTGGCTTTGAAATCAATTCCCCTCACAAAAAGAGATAACATTTGATTAAAAGATAACAAGGTGTAGAGCTGGATGAACACAGCAGGCCAAGCAGCATCAGAGGAGCAGGAAATAACTTTTCATTAGTTTTCCTGATTACTTGCTGTACCTGCAGATAAACCTTTTGTGATTCATACACTAGGACACACAGATCCCTCTACATCTCAGAGGTCTGAAATCTCTCACCATTTAGCTAATATACTTATTTTTATTCTTCCTGTCAAAATGGACAATTTCACATTGTTCCACACAATATACTCCATTTGATAAATCATTGCCCAGTCACTTAACCAATCAATATTCCCTTGTATGTCCTTATGTCATCTTCGCAATGTACTTTGCTATCTATCTTTGTGTAATCAACAAACTTAGCATCATACCTTCCAACCCTTCATCCAAATCATTTGTATGAATTCTAAATAGTTGTGGTCCCAGCACTCATCTCTGTGATGCACTGCTCATTACTTCTTGCCAACCTGAAAGTGACCCATTTATAACTACTCCATTTTCTTGTAGCTGACAGGTCTTTTATCCATGCCAATATGTTACCACCTGCACCATCAACTTCTATTTTTCACAATAACCTTTGAAACGGCACCTTACCTAAAACCCAGAAGTAGTTTCCTGATGACATGCTATCAGGTTAACTGCCCTATCAGTCCCTGTTTTCTCTCTTCCTTCCTTTCTGAATAGTTATGTTACATTTGCTAAATTCCAGTCACTGGGACTGCTGAGGAATCTGAGAAACTTTGGAAAACGAGAAGCAGTATCTCTCTGCAGCTCCCTCTTTCGAACCTTAGGATGTAGGCTTTTAATCCCTTACATTTTTCTACTATATCTAATGTCAATGATTTAAAGTTCCTGACTCTTTTCGTCCCTTGGTCAGCCCTACATCTGTTGTGTCATAGAATCATACACCATGGAAACAGAGCCTTCAGTCCAACCAGTCTATGCTGACCATAATCCCAAACTAAACGAGTCCCATGTGTCTGCACTTGCCCCATTATCCCTCCAACATTTCTTATTCACGTACTTAACCAAATGTCTTTTAAATGTTGTAACTGTACCAACATCCACCACTTCCTCTGGCAGTTCATTCCATACACGAGCCAATCGGTGTAAACAAAAAATACATTGCCTCTCATGTCTTTTCTAAATCTTTCTCCTCTTACCTTAAAAATATATCCTCCAATTTTGAAATCCCCCACCCTAGGGAAAACACACCTGCCATTTTCCTTATCTATACCCCTCATGATTTTATCAACCTCTAAGGTCACCTCTCAACCTCTTATACTCCCATGTAATATGTCCCAGCCTATCCAGCCTCTCCTGATAACACAAACCCTCCATTCATGTCATTTGTGCTTTTGATTGTGAGTATAGATACAAGTTATTTGTTCAACCTCTCTGCTATTTCCTCAATCCCCAGAATGACTTCTCCTGCCTAAATGATTTGCTCGCTAATATGTCACTCTCCTTTTCTGCAGCCGAACCAAGGAGCTGATACAGAGTCCAGGTAATGAATCGGAAAACGTCAGGGTACAGAGATATCCTGCAACTGCATCAGAATCTATAGAAGCCCTCAGGGTGTAGAGGGGACAGGGAAGTGAAAGACTGCAGAGGAGGGTGATGGGATTCATTGGATGTGTGGTGGGGTTCAGACAGGGTGACAGGAAGGATGAGAGGTGTCGGGTTTGGATGGTGCTGGGGAGGTGTCGGGTTTGGATGGTGTCGGGTCTGGACGGTGACGGGGTGGTGACGGGTTTGGACGGTGATGGGGAGGTGTCGGGCCTGGACGGTGTCGGGCCTGGACGGTGTCGGGCCTGGACGGTGTCGGGGAGGTGTCGGGTCTGGACGCTGTCGGGTCTGGACGGTGTCGGGGAGCTGTCGGGTCTGGACGGTGACGGGGAGGTGTCGGGCCTGGACGGTGTCGGGCTTGGACGGTGTCGGGCCTGGACAGTGACGGGGAGGTGTCGGGTCTGGACGGTGTCGGGGAGGTGTCGGGTTTGGAGTCGGGGAG